AATGAGTGGAGGGTTTAGGCTTTAGGGTTTATGGTTTAGGGTAGGGTTCTATGGTCTCCAATATAGGGTGAGATCATATCCCCCCTTGCTTGTATTTTTCACTCTTTGGGACTTAGCTTGGACCTTAGACCCTTAACCTTTTGGGATTCCCTTATATTCCTATTATAGGTACGTGGGGGTCAACGGTAGTAGGGGTCGTAAGTGCCACGTAGTTCAATGAGAAAAACGTATCCCTACTTAGTTCGAACCTCCACAAAACACCCCTCGTAGGCTTCAAGCTAGGGTCCTGAAGCTCACTGGGTGAAGATTTTACCACTTTCCCTGTAGATGTCCCCTGAGATCAAGATTACGTATTCTTGGAATCCCCGCTGCTCCTTGAGTATCAAATACGCCCCAGCAGTTCATGTTGACTGCGCCTAAGCCTTTGAAGCAAAGCCTAGAACACCCGAGGAATGGTTGCGCATCTCTTTGCATCGGCAACACCCAGCTGAATAGCCAAAGCACAAAGTAGGAGAAGCATTGACAACCAATGCCAGTGGAACTTTACATGATGGCTTCATGACCAGCATGTCGTAGACGTGTAAGTAGATGGGAAACAAGTACTGTGTATGACAATGCAGTTTCCAATTCCAATAAATATTGAGCAAGACCGTTCTTGAAAGTCGACAGGGCACGAAGAACTCACATCGAGTCTTTACGCTGCACTAGACCTTCGAACCGTGGATGAGCCACTCCTTCGGGGCGGGGTGGTTTCCATGGGCCGGCTTCAGGATTTTGCAGATCTGTATAGGCCTGGCACTCCTGGGTGTGTAAGAAGGTGTTGTTTAGTGAGTTCCGATTTTGGTGCAGCTGTCACTACACGTACCTCGCGTCGGATATTCAACAGAGATTGGTTTTTGTGGTATGAGCGGGCATTGGTTATGCCTTTCTTCAGCCCTTGGAGGTGTCCGAGCTTCTCCAGAATCCGCATGCCAGCAGCCCAGCGGCGAGAGAGATTAGCAGCAATCAGCAGCGCGCTGCATGGGTGGCCTTGAGGGTAGGATATTGATTGGATGAGGACCCTTGGAGTATGTAGTAATCAACGACAGTGAAATCTATGAACCCTTTTCAGAGGGGACCTGGCAATCTAGATGCTGTTTTGGGGCATGTATGACGCGGGCAGCTTCAAGCTTTCGGATGCTTGTGTTCCATCATGTGAAGTATGTTCAGGACTTTTGAACCAAGTCCCCCAGTACCAGCCCAGACATTTCAGGACCTCGGAATACTCAAGTCAACTTAATTCGCAACGGTCTCATGCCGGTATGGTCTTTTGTAGGAGCCCCAGGGCTCTGTTGTCATCTTCCGCAAGGGCTAAAAGCATCCAGCCTGTCTAAAAGCCTACAGATATAAAGACTTTGGCAGTATCTGTCCCTGAACAAACATGGAACATCGAGAAGAACTTGATTTGCGGATGGCATCTCTTAGGATGTCATGCTTGTTTCGTTACTTCTCACGCGCAGCTGCTGGCAGGTGAAGCGCCTATTTCATGGGCCCGCGTCCAAGATGCCGCTTCCAATAGTCCGTCAACTGTGGAGCTTGACAGCTTTTGGGGGATGATGCTTTGAAGAAGTCTGAGAGGTCAGAAATCACATTTGTTTGTAGCCCGTTTAAATAGCTACAGTATACCACACGCCGAACATGTTCCTGTGGAAGGGTAAGCATTGAGCGCCGTAAGGTTACTTTTGTCATGATCGCAGGTTCAGAAGGTCGTACCAAAAGCGCTACAAGCAGTAATAGTTACAACCGCAACAAGTATGACTCAAGTCTCACGCTAAAGTCAGTGATAGGTAAGGTCCGCGAACTCTGGAGAGAACACTTGGGGTCAGGGCCTTCAACATGTAAATACGGAGTAGCCCTACAAAAGCATGCCCCAGGCCGGCGGTAGGAGGGTTTCCAAAAATTAGAGGTCCCTCATCAGGCTTCCCAGTTATCAGGATTATATAGTCATATTGGGGCCCCCATTTATAGAGACACATTCACACCACAAGCCGCAAGCCTGCAAATTCACCTGACATTTCTGACTACTAGTACAGTCCAGGCTGCCATGCTTTCATGAGGGAGCCCAGTAATGCAGAAGTCATGAAGACAAGGGTACGCAGGAATTCATTTTATGTTTTGATACCCTAACCTCAACACCCTAAATTGTAAACCCAACCTTAGGCTCTAAATGATAACAAGCTGGAGGCCCCTTATCCCGGAATGAATGGCATTGCCCGAAGGCTTCAACTACCACATACTGTTCCCCAAAACGGTACTTCTGGGCCCCGATATACGGGAGCCTCTTATATGCCCTAGCATAGTCTTTGTCATTGGGATCGCGAAGCAGGAGCCTCCCAATTTTGGTTAAAAAGCTTGGAACCTAATCCCCAAACTCCATGTACCCCTAGGTGTCCCCTACACAACCCCTACACATCTCCTAAAATTCCCCAACTTTGAGACACCCCCTGATCTCAAACAAAAAAGCCTTGAAGCCTCTGGGTGGGACCCTAAACCCTAAACCCTAAACCCTAATCTGAAAAGGTCGGAACTTCCACAAAAGCCCCTGCTGGAATGCATCAGGCTCGGAGAATGTAATGGCTGTTTAGGGTTCGAGGTTTAGGGGTTTAGGGTTTAGGGTTTACAGGGTTTCAGGGTTTTTTGGGAGACTATAGGGGTGTGTATGTAGAGATAGAGGAGCAGAAAATGACAACTACTACCGAATGTGGGGTAAACAACTAAAATGGAAAAGCAAAGAGACATGAGGATAGAACATGACATGCAAACTTTTATGTTCCATGGTCCATAGGGGATCATGCACGGGGACTCTGTGATGTAGAAGCCTGAATGATAGCTATTTCATTCCCTTTACAGCCCTTTATCAGTTAGCGGTATGATGTGCCCATAATTCTATCCCATTTTTTTGAAGTCTTACATTACGCAAAGGGCAGGACAGGCCGAGAGAGCGAATTGTTACGTTGTAGTCCAGTAGGTAGCCTTGAATTCTTTCGGGGCACAACAAAATTCAAACCCTAAACCCTGACCGTAAGATTGCCTTGGCTTCCCCAACCAAGGATACTGGATGAGCAAGCCTCCCTTCTGCTAAGATGCAGCGGGTCTAAGTTTTAGGGCTTAGGGGAACTTTAGGGAAACTTACGGTTCTTTGATTTCCCGATGGGATAATATTGAGAGTATGTACCTGACCCTGCCTACCTTGACATCCTAACGTTAACGTAGTCCAGGTTCTTGTGGTGGAAGCTAGCCTTTCATTTCCGCCAGGAGAGTATGAAAAGGAAATTGAGCATCCAACAACAGGAACTACATTGGGAAGTCGCGTCGTCTATGTTCGATGCACCCTGTAGGTCTAAAAGTCGTTACCATTTGCCATTTGCTATGTGGCGCTGCGTAAAAGCAGATTCCAGGGCACGCATCTCTACTATCTCTCTGCAGTGACCAGCACAGCAAACCTGTCACCGACAACTCCTAGCAAGCAGAGCCTGCATCTGCACAAAGCTGCTGCTGACGTCCCGGTCGTCGCGATACTCAGCATCGCCACAGAGGATGCCGTCATGTCAATGTTGAGCTCGTAGTTTCTGCTCGGACATTGTGCGGGCACAGAATGGTGCATGTAAGGCTGTGTCAACTGTCTGGGCTATTTTGATGGGCTCAGGCTGGGCATGCCCATGCAGGATGATGCATGGCACGAGGAACTGTGGGGTCTATAGGTCACAGTTAGGTTGAAGCATCTAAATATCAGAGTTGTTAGCATTATATTGCATTGCTCAAACAGGGTTTGAGCTGATGAGGGTACAGACGTTCGCGGCAGAAAGCCTCGGAAAACAGTGCAAAAGCAAAGCTGCCATGCAGACTGGTTTAGAGAGGCTATCCGTGCTAGAACCAGCCAGGTTTGAAGCATAGGTTATCCTGAGCTATCTTTTTAAGATGTTGTTTCTGCACGTCTTCTGGAACAACGTGCTAGTAGGGGCATGTTCAAGTGTAATATGGTTATCAACTACCGGGTAAAGAAACTGCAGCAGTGCAAGCCACTCTGTCTCGCTCTCCGATTGGCCACCCACAGCTGCGGCATTGCAGCTGCCATCCGCGCGGCCCTTCCATCATGGCGATGGAGCGGATCTCAGAGTTGCGTTGCCAGGGCTTATCGATACGATCTATAGGGTAGTACAGTGGAAGGTGAATTGAAAGCCGTTTATTTAGACTTTCCGCCTTTTTGGGAGTTTGGTGGTGTGAAAAGCAAACGGCTCGAGGTGCTGCTGGTCATAGCAACTTTTAGCTCAAATTTCTGCGTGCCACTAAATGTCTGGTAATCCCTCGCAAGATCCAAGATGGACGGCAGCAGTTTGGTCCATGAATCACGATAGTGGGATCGCGTGGACTTGCTACAGTCCTAATTGCAGCAGGAAGTCTATGAGGCCATGAATTGCAAATTTCCTGAACAACGTAGAGGGCACTATCGTATAGCACAAGTAGTGATGTTGAAACCTGGCACAGGGACGATTGTATGGATGACTGTAGAATCAGAAATATTGTGTACTTTGGTAGTTAAGAACAAGATACGGACCAAGATACTAGAAGTTGTCACCATAGTCTATTAGCAAGAAGGACAATTCATCATGATGCGCACTCATTGCCTGAACAGGGCTTGCTTATCTAGCACGTGCTCTCTTTAACAGTAGGAGCTTCTTTAACTTTACAACATGCAGCCTGCAAGCACTCAGTCAACATGCACAGCACGGCACGGAAGGTGCAGGTCTTCGGAACTCATAGCCAGAATCCAGGCCCTAATTCCAGCTACCCCCAGTTCTGTCAAGGCTTTTCGCAGAAAGAACCCACTATAGAATCCCTGCAACCCTCCACAAGGTCATGGAGGTCCCTGCGCACACGTTTTTTATGAGAACGTCCAGTTTGCAGACACCAGACGAGACTTCTGCAGACCAGCAAGCTTAAGTCCGGGACCTCACGCAGAGGCTCTGAGAAAGATCATGCGTTGGGAGGAGGACGCTGATCGTGGCTTTAGCCTTCGGTTGGGGCTTCAGGGTTTTCATGTCCTTTTGTAGTTGGAGCTCGTAAGGCTGTATGACCTCCTGCTCGGGCTTCTTTCCCAAGATGTGAGCTACCAGATTTGTTGAGCCGTTTTGAGGTTTATGGCGGCAAGGCCCCATTTAAACGCCAGGTGAATTCATGCCAGCAGCGCACTTGAAACTAGACCCGTCATAGGAACGTGATTGTATTGCCTAAAGGTCTTATGCATCAATTGACGAGTAGACTACACAGAAGCCTCCTTCCATGCTTCGGGCTGTACGTACGACCACCATTTCTTTGGCAGGACACCCTCACGCCGGAAGAGCTAGCGGAGTGGTACTCACGTCGCTTGGCTCAGGATGAAAATTCAATACTCAGGAAAAGGGTTTCGAGAGCTTTCTCAAAGTTGTAGGTCCTGGCCTCAGATTCTGATGGATCTCGGACTACAAATTTAGTCGTTATACATTTTGATCTCTGCGTCTCTGAAATACATGGCCACTTAATCACAGAGGAACAACAAGTAGGCTCCGGTCTGTGCCAGTAGTAGCAATTAAGACAGGCGTCTCAAAATCTAGTTTTGATGGTGTCTATAATGATTGTTGTTTTTCTATGCCTCAAAAATCAGGGACTCAGGACATGCATGTCGACATTGTGCCAAAAAGTGGTCGTCTCTTGGGGAACCTCACTGCTACTGCCCGCTCTTTTGGGCTTCAGCTTTATGACATACCCTTCGAAAAATTATTTTTGAGGACTTGGCCGGGACTTCCAAGAAGCATTCAAGTTGTCTCTTTTTTGAATGAGAGCTGATGTTATAAGACTTTGTTCAGGGCTGAGACAAGGTTGTGCCGCGCGATTGTTGATTAGGCGTCATCCCCTTATGATCTTCCCTCAGATGTTAACTGCAATTGGTATGTGGTCAGCATGGAGAGTGGGTCGGGGCATGTCTATATACATATGTGTGTATATATGTATGTATACATACGCGATATTACAGCGATACAGAACCGCGCATCCTCTCTTGAGTCGTTGTTCTTCAGCGCTTGTCCCAGGCTCCATAATCTGGTCACGTCCGGAAATGCACTTAGACTGAATATGAGGAGGGCATCAGGGGGCCCATACGCTCCTTGGCACGAGACCATACTGTACCATAAACCGCTATATAGGGGGGCCCCAATTAGCATAATTCTGATTATAGGGGCCCCCAACAAAGTATCCCCGGCTTTCGGAAACCCTAAACCCTATAAACCCCTATATAATCCCTGCTTCCATTTCATTGTCCATTTTGTTTTCCATCTGATTCTCCATTGTTGCGGGATGCGTTGATATATCCCTATATAACCCCTATATAGCCCTATATAACCCCTACATAACCCCTATATAACCCCTAAGTTGTACAAAGGTCTGTCTTGGGAGAAGGAGCTGGACATGCAGCGGCTGGTCACATCAGGGGTTTTAGAATTCAGGGATGAGAGCAAGCACCAAAACTGTGCAGCCTGTTGCTGGTTTTATGGGGTTCTTACGTTAAGTTTGTAGAACTTTCACCAGGCTTTGGACAGGGTCTCCAAATCAGGGGCCTGAGTGATGTGTTTTGTTAAAGGATCTTGTGAGGGGTCTTTTACTGAAACCAGCTCCGCCTGCAAAGCTAAACACGAAAAGCATTGTTTGGGTGACCCAACATGTGTTTGGCAACCCTGATTTTTCGAAAGCTTTGGGCTGATCATGCTGGACTTGCTAAATCGCAGAAGCTGGTCAACTTCAACAATTCAAACTTGACGCCGGCCTTCTTCTGATATGTAAGGCGTCACCAACCCTCATTCTCATTGAGAGCACTGCACAAACGATTGTTGAACCTTGAATCCGAAAGCTTTGTACTGGTGTACCAAGTCCTGGACCATCAAATCAAGCATTCGTGCCTTGTCAGCTGACCGCCGAGGAAAGAGATCCGTCTCCGTCGCGAAGCGTTCCACGGCTTAAGATGGAGGAGTTGGGCCCGCCGAAAGGTCCAGTTATGTGACGGTGTTGCATAGTCCGGGATATTGAGGGATTGTGCACAGATTTCTGCAACATCGGTCAAGCCGCCCCTAAGCATGTCAGACATATGAAGATATGAGCTGCTAGTTGAGGTAAGCGCACGCATGCATGGCTTTATGCAAGTAAGTGCCTGCCGCAAAGAGGCGAACAATGAACATTGAATTCTACGAAGATCAGTAGCAGTTGGAATGCTGAGTAGTAGCAAACTGTATTACCTTCTGTGCGCCGAGGGTGTTCTGGCACGATCCGACCCTTGACGACTTGGATGAGCAGGACAAAATGTGGGAGATCATCCAGATGGGTAGCAGAGCCGCAATCCTTTTTTGGGCGATTAGTTGGGAATGAACCAACATGTATTATAGGCACTTTAATGAGGCATCGTTTGGAGCCTACTGTGGGCATCCATTCTGCAGTTCTTTGCTAAGAGCCAATAAGATGAACGAGGGATTGGAAAATTATGAAGCCGACTGGGGGGTGACCGATAGGAAGGAGTTGCAAGGAATTTGTGGTCATCGGTCGATGTGTGGTTGCCGCCTAGACATTTGCCGATCCTGCCCAGGCCCTAATGGCAGGGCAGGTGCAAGGATATGGGATCAGGGCTGCTTATCCGGCAGTCCTTCTCCTTTCAGGTTTGTCTCTGAGTTTTCGCGCCAGGGACCAGGGACTATGGCCGCAGGGGCTTGTGGACTGGGGGTACCCAAGCAATGCATGCAGCTAGGGGAAGACTGCGACGTTGCCCTGGCGCATCTTTGGAACGCATGTCAGAGCGGCATGTCCCAGTGATTGCAAAGCCGCAGCACAAGCTGGCAGCTGAGCATGGAGCAGCAGAGTTCCGTCTCCAAACGCAATGACCCCTTGACTTGTGCCAGCGCATCGCCACAGTCGTTGGCCTTTGAAACCCTATGGCAGCTTGATTGGCTTAGCCTGAAAGAGTTGAGTGTCCGCCCCATCCCAGCAAGGATCTTGCTTCTTGGGATCTGTCATGGTGAAACACTTCGTAGTTACCATGCTCCCCTACGCCCCCTCTGCAACTCCCCTACGTGTTTCCCTACAAGAGAGAAGCAGCCCAGGCTTTCAGCAGGTGGAGGATGTTTTGGACAGCAGCTGGGCTTTGCCTCAGAGTTTAGGCTTAGGTGCATACCTGCCAAGCCCAAACTAGGGACCTCTAAAGTGCAACCATGGTCGTGTAACTGGACAGCCCCATCCATGTGACTGTTTCGGGGCTTTCTAGGAAGTATCTCAAATTCAAGGTTCTTAAGGGGCCAGGCGGTAGCGTGACAGTGGGGGTTCAGGTTGATGCCACATGAAAAATGGGCTCGAAACCAAAACAAATCTTCACATCCAGGCCGCTTGGAGTCTGCCAAAAGGCTTGCATCAGGTAATCGATTCTTTAGGTCGATCTGCAGATCTTGTGATGTGCGAGACCGGCTCAGGGCGTACGTGGCCGTAATGCATAGTTACCTCACTGGCCGGTAACAGCTCCTCCAGCGACACGCACCAGCTGAACAGACTTACGGAACTCCATAGCGGCGACCCTTACAAGATCTAGCCAGCGATGCAAGGCTGACTTTATCACATCGCTATAACAGCCCCTGAGGTTCCCTTTGCACTGTCTTCTTGGCTGTTGGACCCCAAATTCATCAGAACTTCAAGCTCGCTGAAGTAATATCATATCCTGTTGCTTGTTGCAGATTCAAGGCCTTCAGAGCGCTCTGGAATTTTGGGGCTGCTCAAAATGAGCTTCGAAAATCATGCCCCAGTTTTTGTCTCAGCCTTTGATATACCAAAGACGCGAGCTTTTTCAAGCATCCGTTGCAGTGACATTACACCCAATTGTGAGTCATGAGGGCAAGTACTGTACCATCGCAACCCTGAGGCATTGACCTTGCCCATTACCGCGACTACTTCCTGTCCAAGGGCGTTCTTTACGGCGCCAAGATGCGGGGCATGACGAGGAAGTTTATGGCAGCGGCCTCAGAGTCTTTAGGGTTTAGGGTTTGTTCTTGTTCCAGTTACGGGGCGTTTACAGGGTGTGCAAAGGGTTTTTACAGGGCGTGTAGGGGTTGCACAAAATTGTGACTTGAGCTGCTTGATATTAGGATGTTTCCTTCTTACTTGTTAGCCCAAAAAGGCAAACTGTTTCCAACTCTTGCCCACAATGGCAGCTCGTTTCCCCATCCGTCAAGTGTCTGTCCTTTTGGGATTCTCCGACGATTTGTGCAAAGGCACCTGGTCCTCCCATGCAAGCATAGGGTCTGTGCGGCAGAATCCGTGTGCCATCCTGCACCAAGATGCTAGGACATTTATACGCCAACCGTTTCTGTTTCAGGCGCCCAGCAGAAAGTCAATACTTGAAGACTTGAATTGGGCCTGTTCACCCACCCATGTGTGAGACTTCAATCAACTATCCTCGCCTGTGCTCTTTTCCCCAAGTTTCGGAACGTATCAACGGGAAACTCCATTTTGCCAACCTCTGCTTCAAGAAGTCGATTCGAAAACCATCGTTCTTGTAGTGGTTGCAAATGGTGTTGAAGCAGCATAACAGCAGCTGCACCCTCCCAGACAGCCCTTCATACATTTCCTGGGAAGTTCCAAATGTCCTTACAAGCGTTTTTGGAACCTGCAATAAGGATAAAAGGATGCCTGCCATCACGAACGAGCATGAAAAGGACGCCTGGGAAAGCATCAAATCCATGATTGCTCAAAAGAGCCACCCCCCACAAACAG